AGTGCTTGCAGGTAGTGTGTGCTCTGGAGTGGCTTTGAATTAGCGGTGGTGGGTGTTCGAACAAAGAATCTAAACAACGTGTGATTTACTTTTTGTAGCACATGGTCATGAATTGGATTGAGCAGTAATTTCAGAAAAACGTGCACAGGAGAATCATGTGGTATATATTCATTTATTCCACAAAGATGTAGTGATTACCCACATGCTCAGGTTTTGATTAGACCCTGTATTTAATGGGTTAGACCCATTCTTTAAACATCAGAGGATTTAAATAATGCCTTCATAATTGGTACACAGGAAGCTGTGCCTTAAGAGAGTGGTGGACGATAGTTCCAAGAAAGGAGAGGGTCCTGTGGTGGGTGATCAAGGAAGGCTTCTTGGAAGAGGTAGCATTTGAGCTGAGAGACACGTTCTTTGTTCTTTTTTTTTTGGAGAGATTTTCACTGTAGGGCGCGTGCGCTCACCAGATAGACAGAGAGAGACATAGAGACAGAAAGCGAGAAATCACCCCCCAGGGGGGATGGTCACGCCGCCATCCCTTCTCCTCCATTCTCTCGGGATCTTGGGCACGCACGTACACTCGCCCGGTGTGAGTTTTTTAAGCCACCGGGTCTGGGACACGAACCGCGGTCGACTAGGTGGGAGTCCAGTGACATAGCCATTACGCTAACTGCTGGTTCCCACGTTCTTTGTTCTTTTGACTAGCCTTTTTCATGCGATGACCTTGACTGCTTTCCTTCTTGAAACGGTTCAGTCATTTGATTTTCTGCTACCAAGCAGCAACTCTCCTACCAAACCTTGTCTTCCTGGTCAGGACTTTCTATGGTTCCTGCATATCCTAGGTTCTTTGATCTTTTTCTTCAGTTCTCCATCAGAGATATCATTTACTAATGCAGTTTTGAATACTTGCCTACATAAGTGTCTTCAAACCCAGGACTAGAGCCTGGACTGTTTGGACCCTCCGTCCTGCATTTCCAACTCGAGGTCTCACTAGCAGCTCACGTGCAACCCGTCTGAATCTGAACCCTTTCCTGCAGGGGACAGCACCTGCCCCACCTGGCTTTCCCACCTGCCAAGTGTCTGCCTCGTGCTGGGGGCTACTTTATCATTCTTTTGATTTCTCAGGGGGAGTTTCAGAGTCTTTTTTGTTATGTCTCCCTGCCAGTCATGTCTAAATAATCATTTTATTTTATTTTTCTTTCCAATTTGTTTAAAAATTTTAGTTCTACTCATGCTTAGTTCTGCCCATTATCTGTATGCTTGCATCCCTGCAGGGGTCTTCTGAATCTGAATCTTCCTCGTCACTAGCAACATCACTATGGCTTAGTGAGCATCTGCCACATTCGGGATATTGCTAGGATGTCATGTTCCATAAGTTGAGAAATGGAGACGTGAGGGAGGTCAAACGGAGCTGAAGTGATAGAGGAGATCACTGGGTGGTCAGCTCCAAGGCGATGCGCCCAGTGGGTGAGTGAGCAGCATGCAGTATGACCAGAGGCAGCCGGGAGAAGTAGACGCCAAGGTCTATGGGAAGGTGAGTCCTTGGGCTTCGGAGACATCTGTGACAGGTGGCATAGATGGTGGACCGTGGTCCATGGCAAACCTGTGAGGAGTGGGGGCCCACGTGGTGTGGCAGGAGAGCTGTGAAGTGCGCTTGGTTGAAGCAGATGTGATGGACCAGCATGCTAACCCGAGAATCTGGGCTTTGGCCTACGAGAGTGAGGATCTGGAGAGGACAATGGCAATTGGAGAAGGCGAGATGTGGGAAAAATACTGTTTTAAAGAGAACCTGGAGGAGGAGTATAGGATGAGAGTACAGGGAAGGGAGGTCAATTAGGAGATCTTGTGGGAGTCTACTGTGACGTTTTTTCCCTCTAATTTACTCAAAACATAGGAGCTGCAATTCACAGTTTGGATCCTAATGGTCTTCTGCTCAAATGCTGTGAGTGCTTCCCTTGCCGTGAGGAGGGTCCTTTCGCTGGCTTTAGGAAGCTCCATCATTCCATTTTAGCCTGTCCTTCCAGTGTTGTCTCTAACTCCTCCCCTTCAGAAACCAACCATGGCTTGCATGCAAATTAAGTTTACAGGGATCCCTCTTTCTGCTTTCTCCACTGCTTGGGAGATTCTTCACATTGAAATTCCAGCCAGCCTTTAGCGTACTCAGTATCTTTTTTAGCCTAAGCGTTCTCACGTGCCTCAGTGACTCCTGACTGTATTGTTCACGTTGATAGCCAGCAACTGACAGCATTTCTCTTGTAGCTGCATAAACAATCAAATAGTGCTGACATTGTTGTTTGTATTTTTTTTTAATTGCCAGAGGGCCCATGCGCTCATCAGAGAGAGAGAGAGAGAGGGAGAAAGCATCCCCCCAATGGAGTGTGGTTACACCACAATCCCATCTCCATTTCTACATCCTGTCATGCCCAGCTCCCAGAGGGTGTGATGTGTGCTGGTTGGAGAGAGAGCTGTAACTTCCCTGATAAATGGGACCACATTTGCCGTTTTTGTAGGTGTTATAACCGTTGCATCTTTATCCAAGGTAGCCCCAATCATGGTACTTTGAGCATGATGTTTGCTGACCTTTGGTTTTGTTTTAACCAGGGAGATAATCTCCTTGGAAGATGCCAAGGGCCTAGGAGAATCATAAATGTGAGGAGACCAGCTTTCCCCAGAGTGGTGGCCATTGAATGGGTAGATTCAGGAAGAACGTTTTTCTTTGGATTTCCTTGTCCCCTTGTCTAGGTGGGTTTTGGCTAATTACCAGGAAAGTGGAGGAGATCGTCTTAACTTGAGGTACGAGGTACAAGGTACAGTCCTAGCTGTACTTTCCATGGGGCTTCTTCCCCAAAGGGAATCGTCTAGTTTGATTCTAGTATCTTCAGATAGCTGTCCCTGAAAACCCAGTACAGAATATCAACTAAGTTAAACATTTTTATGATAGACGAGAGAGAGAGAGAGAGACCCTCAACAGGGTCTTGTCATGCTACAATCTCCTTTCCCAGCTCTCTACCACCTCAGGATCTTGGATGCCCAGGCATGCACCTGTTGTGGTTCCAGGCTGACCTGGGTATTTGAACCCACAGTGGGCCATGTAGCTTCCAGCTGTGGTACGTGTTATCTAGGCTCAGTTCAGTTAAACATTTTTTTTGGTTCCCAGCTTTCTAGAAATCAGCTAAAAATGAATATTTATATTTTGTTGTTAAGTAGGTAAAAAACAAACAAACAAACCCATTAGGCAGAAGCAAAATTAGTCTTAAATGGATGAGAGAAATAAGTGCAAGCATATAGGTGAACCAAGGCTTGGAGACAGGGAAACGTTGGCCAGGAGTGTAAAGTATTTTTTAGATCAAGATATGCTTCCTAAGGATTCTAGGTTAGTTTTCTTTTCACCTCCAAGGTTGACAGGCTGGTGGAATTTGACGTCATGGCTTCATAGGATGTGGGATGGCTCCGAACTTATATTGGGGGAGACGGGCACACCAGCTTTTACCCAGTAATCCGAAACCTTCCGAATCTGTAAGGGTTGGTACTGGAACTGTAAGTCAGCTAGAACTTCCCTGTGTATTAGGCAAATGAAGTTACCGAAATTAATAACGCTAGCAAGAGAGCTGAGAGAATGTTCAGAAGAGCAAACAATTTTAAGCCCTCTCAGCTTCTATAAAAACACTTATTTATGTGGAAACAGCTGACCTGCTAATTAGAAAACATCCTTGCCTATTCATTAAACCAATTATCCTGAGGAATTCTGCTAAGCAGCCCTAGTCTAGCTCTAATTATTGCATGGCCTTGAAAGCAATAAGCTACTTTTAGAATACAATTGTGTAATTTAGACATATACGTGGTTTACTTAGACATTTCGCATAATTAGAGTGGGATAGTAATGAGGGGTACACTAGCGTTCTTATAAAAAAAGTACCCACTTTCTCTTTATAGGGAGATGATAATGAATTCTTAGACAACGTACGTTTAGATCTGTGAAATCCGAGGGGCTCATTATGGTTTAAATATTAAGAGTTCTTTTTAAGGCCTCTCTCTCTCTCTTTCTTTTTTGGATTACCTTGGATCTTAAATAATTAAAAAAATTTCTTACGACTTACGACAGTGGAAGTGCTTTTCTTTTGTTGTGAACTGGGACATCATGCTTAAGTGAAAATAAGGTGAGTTCCTTCCCACACCGCCATTTTACCCTGCATTGCCTACTTTATGCTGCAGGGCTTCCCCTAACGAGAACACTGGTTAAGAATCGTAGTGCAGGAGCGCACAGGGGACCTGTGGCACATAACAGCACCATGAATACACGTGAGCTGACCTCGAGTGGCAAGCCGGTGCTGTCACGGAGAACCTGTGCAGTTTTTCATGGGCTCGGATGGGGCCCAGTACCTCAAGCTTAGGAGCACGTGCTTTGGAGGCTGCCTCCCGTGGGTTTGAAGTTTCCATTCACCACTATGAAGAAGGTGTTTTGCACCTTGGGCAAGGTATTGAAAATTTTGTGCCACGGTTTCCCTCTCTGTAAAGAGTGAAATAGATCCAGTGCCAGGGGCTCTTGTGAGAATTCAGTGACTTATTCCATATAAGGGGCTCTTATAAGGAGGAGATTGATTTATTCATCCAACCATCCATCCATTCATTCACTCACTCCTTTCAGCTCCTATGGATCATGCACGAACCACAAACTGGCCCTTCTTTAGAGGTGGGCGTTGGGGGTTCAAGCAGGAAGGTGGTGTCCTACCCTTTTGGGGCCAATGTTCCAGCAAGAAGAGACAGATCATAAATAAGTAAATGAGTTGACAAGTCCAGCTAGTAATCAGTATCACAAAGAGAACAGGGAAAGAAGAGTGATTTGGCTAAAGGGAGAGAGTCCACATGAGGGGGGGTAAGAGGAAACTTTTGGGCCGAGACTTGAATGACAAGATTGTTTAAGAAAATTTTCCATCATGTTGTTGGCTTTTTCTATTCTCTTATAATCTCTTCACATGAATATAAAACCTTCGAGGACACGTCTAGGAGGTCTGGAGCCCCTCCCACTGGTGCTTGTCTGCGTTCAGACAAGCCGTGGTCAAGGTTGGAGCTCCCTTTCCCCAAACTTCACCGTGGCAGAATCCAGACCTGCACCCCCGTGGGCATCTCTGCCTTGGCTCCCGCTGGGTGCTCCGCCACCCGGTTCTGCCTCAGTTTCTGGAGCAGCTTGACTCTGTTGTTACCCCCTGACAGAAAGTACAGGACCGGGTTGAGGCAGCTGCTCAGGCTTGCCAGGGGCCTCCATATCTTGTAGGCCGCACTGGCTGTCTCCAGGAGCTGGCAGTCCTCTGAGAGCAGGAAGCGGATGGCGAGGTAGAAGGAGCGGGTGACATGGAAGGGCACGAAGCAGAGGGTGAAGAGGCCGCACACCAGCAGGATGGTCCGGATGGACTTGGCTCGGGCTGCATTGCCCGTCCCCATGAGGGTCTCCCGTGGCTTGGTCAGGCTCCTGACCATCTGCGAATAGCACACCAAAATGACCATGGAGGGGAGGACGAAGCCGGACAGGGTCAGCACCACGCCGTAGGTGAAAAACTGATCGAAGTTCTCCGGGCTGGTCATGTCATAGCAGATCATCTGGCCGTCGACATAGTCCGTGTGGGAGAAGGCCAAGGTGGGCAGCAGCTGGAGGACCACCAGGGCCCAGGTGGCGGCGGCGCCCTGCCAGGCGTGTCTGGGCGTCCTGTAGGGCAGCGAACGCAGCGGGTGGCACACGCCCAGGAAGCGGTGCACGGAGATGCAGGTCAGCAGCAGGATGCTGCCATAGAGGTTGGTGTAGAACAGGAAGCGCACCAGCTTGCAGAGCAGGTCCCCGAAGGGCCACCTGTCCCCCAGGGAGTAGGTGACGATGAGGAAGGGCAACGTCAGCACGTAGAGCAGATCGGCCACCATCAGGTTCACCAGATAGATGGTGGCACAGCTCCAGCGCTTGGTTTGGCACCAGGACAGCCACAGGACAGTGCCATTCAGGGGCAGCCCTAGGACAAAGATGATACTGTAGGTCAGGGAGAGGTAGATTTGCTTGTAGTCCTCCGAGAGCTGGCAAAACCCTTCTTCCTTGGAGGCATTGCTGTCCAGCTTGTCCATCCCCTGGGAGGCTCCCTCTGGGAGAGGGGCTCTGCCACGGCCAGTTTCTGCTTCTCCTGGGAGGACAGGAAAACAGAGTATCATAACCTTGGCTGGCTAGCTTCTACCTGACCTAGCATCCACCTCGGTGCCCCCAAAACCTAGTCAGTCCTTGTTTGTGACACGAGCTCCTGGAAGGGATGGGAGGGAGTTGAATCTAAGTCTTCAAAAGCAGAGCGTTTAGACTTACCAGGCCCAAAGGGCTGGCCTTACCTCGACTTACAGGCTGAGTTGTGATGTGAAGGTTAAATACAAATGGTGGCAGGATGCTGCTGCTGTCATTTAAACAGGGCACACAGCACCCCCCGCTCTGTGACTCCTCCTCTCGCTAGAATCTTTTGCATGGTGCCAGGAAATGTCTAAGGAGAGATACTCCAGCCGGAGAAGCCAGTGCATTTCAGAGGGATGACCCTTGACCACAGTCTGGCCACACGCATCATGATGGAGTAGAATGAGGTCCTGGGGGTTAGAGGGGATTAGGGAAAGCACAGGTTTTGCGTACAGGCATTGCTGGGGGGATTTTGATTTGTATCTCTTTCAGGATTTATTAACTGCATATTTGAATACGGAGGCTGATTTGCTTATTAACCATCTCAGCATCACTAACGTCCAAGAAAACAAATCTGAGTCATGAAGCCAGGTGCACGTCCGTATTCCCATCCCTGTTGACAAAGCAGGTCGGATAGGTGGGTCCAAGTAGCTGAGGAAGCTGCGTGTGGAAAGCCCGATGGTTTCTGTCCCATTAGGGAAGTCGATGTGGCATGAGATCATCAGTGTGGAGCCAGGAACTGAAAGACATTTCATTGTAGAACTTAACAATGAGAAAGACTAGTTAAAACAAGAGAAGAGGAAAGAAAGTTTAAATAGGCGATTTTAGGATAAATGGAGTGTTGACCTTAAACTATAACATATAGAGACTTGATTCGCTCCGTCACTCAACAAATATTTACTGGACACTTAACTGGGTCAGAGAGTGGGTACAAAGTGAGTCACACCAGCCCTGCCCTCCAGGACCTCACAGTGTGGTGAGAAGACAAATGGATAGAGCTCATTGTAATATGATGTGAAAAATGGTCAACAAGATGAACATCAGGAAGTTATGGCCAGTTCTCCCCTGAGGGAATTGGCTGAGGATTTCTCAGAACAGGTGACATTTAAGGTGCTTGAGAGAACAAATAGGAACTGGCCCAGCAGAGAATGGTGAGGGTCACTGGGCTATGGGGAACAGCACATGCGAAGGAATAGAAACTGAAAGGACAGTGTGTCCTGGTAATGGCAGGAAAGTCAGCGTTAGGGTGATGCCACCGTGAGGATATTCCTGAGCAGGATGGGGGTGAGGGGGGCTGTCGTGAGGGTGCGTCTTCAGTGTCAACTTGACTGGGTTAAGGGATGCCCAGATAACTGGTAGAGCATTATTTCTATGGCTGCAAGGGCGTTTCTGGAAAAGACTGACATTCGAATCAGTGGATTAAGGAAGATCCTCCCTTGGCCATGCACTATCCAATCAGCTGAGGGCACTGATGGAACAAAAAGGCAGAGGAAAGGCAAATTCAGTTGCCCTCTTCTGGAGCTGGGACTTCCTTCTCCTGCCCTTGGACATCGGCACTCTTGGTTCTCCAGTCCGTGGATGATGGGACGTGCACCAATGGCTTCCTTTGCCTTATGGTTTGGATAATGGTTTGTATCCCAAAGGGTCATGTTTTTGCAATATAGTCTTAGTGGGTGATGAGTAGCTGTCCCTCCAAACTTCATGTGTCAGGGGGCCAGATCCCACCTGGCTGACTGTGGTTAGGATCCTGACCTCGGCAGCTTAAAAAACATGCCCGTGCATGGGCATGTGTGCTCCAAATCCTGACAAGATGGAGAAATGGAGAAGGGATTGTGGCATAACCATGCCCCGATGGGGAGGTGGTGGGGGGGAAGGGATTGTGGCATAACCATGCCCCGATG